ACCTGGACTTGGACTTGGACCTGACTTGGACCTGGACCTGGACCCCGATGTCTCAGCTGTGACGGTGTGTGATACAAACCAGCTGGAGTTCAAACTGCCTCTTATACAAGTTGTGGAAAAAAAAAAATGAAACTCTGTCCCCTGGCGTTCTGTGCCCAAAAAAGGAAGTGACTTCAGATTCCCGCCGGCTGAAATCAGATTTGAGGAAAGTTGTTTGAAGCTGTTATGGTTTCACACATGTGCGACGCAGACGGCTCCACCTACTGTCCAGAGTAGTGTAAATGTGGCATTCGTTACATTTATCAGACCTTTAAACAAATTCATGTGTGTGTGTGTGTGTGTGTGTGTGTGTGTGTGTGAGGGAGTCCCCAGGATTTTCCGAAGTCCTTATTAGGTTAACAAGATTTTCTGGAGATCGGAATGAGGGAGGAGGGGGAGAAGAAGGACAGGGAAAAGGGAAAGATAGGGAGCCTCCCTGTGATGATGGAAGAATAGTTTGAAACACACACACACACACACACACACACACACCAGTCTTTGATCCTCTGCAGGAGCCGTCACACGTCGTAGCTGCTTTTACGGTTTCGTCAACGGCTGTCCAATAAAACAGACTATTATCAGAAACACTATTTCTCAGGGCCCTGTGCAGCGTCAAGGACGGTGACGCCACGCTTCGAAATCAGGAGGTCTGTGGTTTGAATCCTGACTCAACCAGAAGCGGTCGCTGAGGGGTCTTTGGAGATTTAAAAAAACAAAAACAAAAACCAACAACATTTTTTATGTTTGTCTCATGCAAAACTAGTTGGAATCAGAGCCAAATATATATAATATATATATATATATATTAGGCTATACATATATTTATTTATATATATATATGCATATATATATATAAATAAATATATGTATAGCCTAATATATATATATATATAAAGAGAATTATGTTCCAAGATCGCGGTAGGAGAAAAAACGCAAAGTAAAGACGTGATAGTTATTATATTATTTTCAAAAATATTTACGAACCCTTTAGGGCATGAAATATGGCAAAAAAATCTTTTTTACGAAACCCGTACGTACAGGTTATTTCTTGCAATATCCTGTATGTATGTGTTATAAAATGTCTTTTTATTTATCAAAAAATAAGTTTCCAGTTTTGAGTTTACAGACTTAAAATGACCTGCACTAAGTTTCCATTTTCAATCACGGTGTTTTTATAATTCCTCGACGTCCAGACTGTCGTTTCTAACAGGGACAAACGGTCCAATCATTAAAAAGACGTGGAATCAAAGTGACGGTGTGGACGCTGTATTTCTGGGCCTTTTTTTTTTTTTGATGAACTCCTGTTTCCCCCCCCTCCCCCAGGCTGTGTGTGTGTGCGATAAAGCAGCTGGAGATGTGTGTGTGTGTGGGACAGATCAGTAGCTGCAGTGATCGAGTTTCAGTCGCACCATCAGTCAGAGTGAACATCGATTAAAACCAGGGATGAACCTGGAGAGAGGCTCCGAGGAAAACTGGGAATTCTGTCGAAGCTCTGTGTGTGTGAGTGAGTGTGTGTTCATGCTTTATTAGCCCCAGTGAAGCAGACTTGGTTCACTGAAGTTATGGTTTCCCCCTGTGGCCTGTAAAGTTATTAACTTTTTGAAGTGAAGTTAACCAAATACACATTTTACCGTCACCTGTGGTACCAAAAGTGAAAGTTTCCGATCCAGAGACGTCCGCGTTTCTGAGGAGTGAGAGAGTGACCAGTGAGGTGATTTACCACTTCCTTTCCCTCTGTGTGTGTGTGTGAGTGTGTGTGTGTGTCAGCGGAAACATGCTTTGTTAGTGTCAACTGTGTGCCATTCAACAGACGGCCTCTGTGGGTAACCACCACACACTGGCAGCTCTGTTTTCTCTGTGGCCTCTTGAGTATAAAGTATGTGTATGGATGTAAAAGACAGCACATGGAAAACTTTAAAAAAAAACAGTGAAAGACACTATTGAAGGAGACTGACAATTTAAAGGTTCTCTTTTTTTTTTTTTTTTTTCAATGTTGCCAGAAAGACCTAGAAAAGAACGAGGAAGTACTGCAGTACTGGTGGAAATATATTTATACTTGTTGTTGTTTGTATTTGTCAAATACCAAATGTTGCTTGATGATGAGGATGAGGATGTCCTCATCCCTGGAACCTCAAGGACAAATGAAGACATTTCAAGGACACTAGAAATGGTCTCTTTGCCTCTGGGTCAAAGGTCAAGTTTTAAAATGTATCCAGATTATTTTAATGAAACAAAAAAAGGAGGGAAAAAAATGGATGAAAGGAAGAGGAGCTGAAGTGAGACGAGGAAGGGAGAGGGGGGGAGAGGAGGGGGCTCAGTGGGAGAGGGGGGAGTGGGTGGAGTCAGTCCCCCAGCATACTGGG